TTCAGGGTACAGATCCCCGCGATAAACAAAGGACTACTGTATATGTGAATATAGATCTCTGTATACCGTCTCTCCTCATGTTTGCTTCCCTTTTCTCTTCTAAGCAAAATATTATTCTGAATAAGAATAAGAGGGCCGCGCTATTTAATAGCCACAGCTTCATGCACTCCGCCCATGTTTCGGACAACTGTACATACATATTCTTGTTGTATCTCGGTGCAATGCCAATAAAGTTTATTCTGATTCTGATTCACACGTCGATCATCTTATCTGTTTCCAAAGTGTGATTCTGTTTGACAGTTACCAACTAGCAGGACTGATGATACAACATGAGACTAATTTACTGCTGCTTAAAGAGCTCTAACTGCCGAGTGCAAACCAGGACAGAGCTGCTGACGCTTTCTGATGCTGCACACAGATGAATGAAAGCTGTGGCTGAGATCATTAGGATGATCAGAGAAAAAAGTTTCACTGGTGGTGACTTTTTTGTCAATTTGATGAGTACAGACACTTTAATGTGTGTGTTTTATATTGTTTAATATCATGAGTTGCTTCAGTCCTCTTAACAAAAATCCCAGAATATAAAAAATAGGTGGATTACCAAAAAGCTGCTGCAATAGAAAGCAAACTTGTACCTGGAGATGAGATGTATGTCCACAGGCCTGATGGGCTCCAGTTTGCTGAGTGTGCACCCAGTAGGCCTAGAAATATGAGGTACATGCAGAATGTTGCTGAGTGGAAGGTTTCCAGCCTCTCCCTCTTGTGTTGCTGCTGAACAAATCTCTTCATGTTTCAGTACGTGGCTGCAAGGAAGCTCTGACAACTCCTGGCTGTGCTGCTTCTGATGACCAGGCCACAAGGATGGAGTTTGAATTGTGTTTAAAAGGAGAGCACTTCTGAGTTTGGAGACGCAGAGTTCTTTGAGAAGAAGTTCAACATTTCTCGAGCAGCACCTTCGGTAACATTCGCCCGATCTGGCAGTTCCTCCCACGCACATTCTGGAGGAATGATCTTGAGGGGAAACGCCACAGGGAAGAAAACCGTCATTTCCAAGTGTTAACAACTATGTAGCTGTCTGAGAGTGCACTTATAGGTCTCCAATCTGTGCAAATTATGGGTGTGAGATGTGGGTTTAGGGGCACAAATGGACAGTTATGGCTTTCTGTTGAGTCGTATGCACAAAAACATCTTGTTTCTGTTCTTCTACTGAAAAATATTCTTAAACTAATCATTAAAAGTTATGTTTCCTCTTTGAATTTTGATGTTTCTCGTCAAAACTTGCACCAAATTCATACTTTTTTGCATGTCAATAAAATGCACAGAGCTGGGTGAGCCATATCCCTGGCCACATAGTACGAGGCTTTTCAAATCAAATCTGGCTTCACGAGATGTGGGGAAAGACACAGGAAGTCATATCCTCTTTCGTTTGAGCTTTGAGGCTCTGAAGGAGAGCTTGAATATTATTGTGATGTATGACACTATAGGAAGGAAGCAGTAGGAAAAGTTAATTTAATGCCAGTTTTATATCATCAGCCAGTTGGGAGTGTGGAGTGGATTAGAAGCAGTGCTCAGAGGTAAAACTGTTATTTTTAAAGAAACATATTTTCACATCTTTCTACCTGGCTATTATTTGTCTGCATCTCTTTGCGTGACTGAATTAAAATCAAATGGATAGTAAGCTCTGAAATAATATGCTGATGAGTAAAAAAAAAACAGAAAATAATCTGTTTTTGTCGCAACAAACATCAGAAACCTCCCTCAGTGTGATGTATCACACTGTAATATTTATATGGCTTTGTTCAGAATCATCTCAGCATGACCTTGTTAAGATATCTCCACCTTTTAATTGGTCTTTTTGTCCCTTGTAAAACTCGGATGAGTCTGTTTAAACTAAAACAAACATTTGTTGGATGAGCTTGATTTGATTTGATGTCTGTGACTTTCTCCCTGCCCCCGGCTCTGTCTAATAGCTGATAGATGTAATTACGTTTCCATCAGCGAGAGGGCTACTGATTGACTAGTGTGAGATGTGTTGTGTTAGTGAGATAAAGCTCCCTCTCACATAGTCGAGGTTGGGCCTTGAATGCTGGATCAATAACCTCCTCTTGTGTTCTCTCAGAAAACTGAAGTGTTTTCATTGCTTTATATCGCACTTCCTTTACTGAAGGGAATTGCCACATTTTAAAAGTTGTAAAACTTTTTAATGAAAAACCTTTAAACCAAGTTGCATTTGTCAAGGTGTTTCCCATTTCCAGAGGTTGTTTGCATTATAACAAACCCAAACTTTTCCCCTCTTTTGCTTCGCCAAAGGATGCTCCTTTTGGGGTGGAGATAAATGTAGTTACTGTTCTGCCAGCACTTCCTCAAAGCCTAACCAGCTCGTCTGAACTGTGCGGGATTTTTCACCATGGTGTCTGTGTCTCTGTGTCCCCCTGCAGGCTTTGAGCTGCTGTACCAGCCAGAAGTGGTCCGGCTGTACCTTTCTCTGCTGACGGAGAGCCAGAACTATAACACCCTGGAGGCAGCTGCAGGAGCTCTGCAGAACCTCAGCGCTGGACAGTGGACTGTGAGTCCTGGGTTGGAAAGACACAAACAACACAACGTTCTATCCGACTCTTTTGCCTAATTACTTACTTTCTTACATTTTGTGTCTTGTCATGGCCTTACAGTGATTCGTATGTTACAACAGTGAGCAGCAGTCAGGCTCAAAAGACAACACAAATTCAAAATAAGTTGTAAGTCAAACAGCTGAAACAAAACCAAGCATCATGTTTAGGAGATCGTCAATTTATTTCAATAAAACAAACTTTGTCAAATCTTATGAAGGTAAAAGAAAAATGTAGGTTAAAGAGATGTAAACTGAAACAGTGTACAGTAGTCCCTCGTTTATCGCGGGGGATCTGTACCTTGAAGCCCCGCGATAAGTGAAAAACCACGAAGTAGGAATAGTAGTACAAGTAGTAGTTTATTTTAGTGTGTGTATATATATATATATATATATATATATATAATAAGACATTTTAAACCCTTCCCACACTCTTGCAATATTCTAAACAATGTTTCTAAACGCTAAACGTTCTAAACAAGCACAACATGTCATGATCACAGCTTTGCCTCCGGCTGCACTCTTGGCCACGCCCACTTCTCCACTGAGCTCTGGAGATCAGCTGATCAGCTGCAGGAGGAAGCTTCTCCCTCAGCTGTGAGCTGCACACAGGTGCTAAATCCATCCATCCATCCATCCATCCATCCATTATCTTTACCCGTTTATTCCATTTTGGGTCATGGGGGTCGCTGGTGCCCATGTCCAGCAATCACTGTGCGAGGGGCGGGGTACACCCTGGACGGGTCGCAAGTCCATCACAGGGCCACATAGAGACAAACGAGACAAACAACCATTCACTCTCTCACTCACACCTAGGGACAATTTAGAGTTACCAATCAGCCTAACATGCATGTTTTTGGTCTGTGGGAGGAAACCGGAGCACCCGGAGAAAACCCACGCATGCACGGAGAGAACATGCAAACTCCACCCAGAAAGACCCCTGGACCGGGGTTTGAACCAGGAACCTTCTCGTTGAGAGGCAGCAGCTCTACCAGTTGCGCCACCGTGCTGCCCAGGTGCTAAATCATTTAAAATAATTTATTTTAAATAACAATTCCATGCCGATTGTGGACTCGTCCATCAATCAGTCAATTGTGTGTCAAGTCCAATCTTACTTTGAAAAACCACAAAATACGAACCATGAAGTAGTGAGGGACTACTGCAGTTTACAAAACCTTGAATGTTCACAAGTAATCTTGTTAAAATGTTAGTTTTTTTTTCTTGACTAAAGGAAAACCACGAGAAAAGACAAAGCTCTGTTGGGACGATTTTAATTCTGTTGACTTGATTAGTTATTCAAAGTGTTTCTCTTCACATGCACATTTTTCTTTCTTTCAATTTCAGCAACATCAAGCTCCCCTGGTTTAAAAAAAAGACCAGAAATCTTTAGATTTTGTTTGTTTTCCCATAAAAGTAGCTGTGAGTCTTTAATATAAAGTTTGATAATCTTCAGTAGTAGCAATTCTGAACTAGTGTTAGCGTTTTAAAGTGGAGTTCATGTCACGTTTGCAGTGACCTGTTGAATTAACGAGGAGGCCAGGTGGTGCAGAGGAGCCTGTGGTGTCACGAGCACATCAGTGTCACCCTGTCAGCTGGACAAAGACATCAGAGCTCCTGTTTTTGATCTTTCTCCCTTTTTGCTTCTCTCCAACCCATTTTCCCACAGCTTACTACTGCCACCTGGTGGCTCAGCTGCACCCACTTTCTGCCTAATTACATCTCTAGGGGTACCAGCACTAACAAGAGAATCTTTTTTTTTATGTCAAAGCTAATGTTTGCTGTTGCATAAAACAAGAAGTGAAAATCCAGTGATTTTTAAATTATGACATTATATCACAAGTCTATTTAAAGCCTCACTGTGTGGCAAACAGAAGAAAAGTCTTAATCGCTGCAAGCATGAAAACATCAAAGTCACATTGTAACTTGACCTTCTTTTGCCCTTCAGTGGTCCAACTATATCCGAGCCACGGTGCGGAAGGAGAAAGGACTGCCCATCCTGGTGGAGCTGCTGCGCTCCGATTCAGACAAGGTGGTCCGAGCTGTGGCCATCGCCCTGCGAAACCTGTCCATCGACCGCCGCAACAAGGATCTGATCGGTACCAGTTATCAGAATCACACTCTCATGTAGGATTAAAGACAAAGATGCTGCACATGTTCCTACTCTTTTAGACTGAAGCTAAAATACATGTCTTATGTTCAACGTTTGGATCTGTGGTGTACTCTGCATTTTTGTACTGGGTGAACTGTGCTTGGAAATGTTGTTATTTACGTGCAATATATAGCACGTGCATTTTACCTTATATTACTACCTTGAAATACTCATTCATACAAATTCATCCTGCTTGCACCGTTAAAATTCTACCATGTTCTTGTTTACTATTTTCTTTTTAGGACCTTGTAAATATTGTAAATTACATTATCACTTTTTGGTGCTTTATTTTTGTACCCTTATTGCATTTCCTTATTTCTTGTTTGTTCTTTGTTTTTTTAACGAGTCACATCGGTTCTTCTCATCCTGAGCATTTCATTGTTCTGTTGACCTTGTGTTAACCTTGTGTTAACCTTGTGTTAACCTGCATACGACAAGTAAACACAACTTGAACTTTAACTATTAAACACTTTGTACAAAATCAGTTTAGTCCCATCCAGATATACACCGTGCACTATGCTAACACTTAGCATGATGAAAACAGCTACAAGTCGTGGGATTAGCTTACGTACTGCCTTTGTTTGATGTCATACGACCGTAAACTTCTGTGACAAATCCACAACGCCACATATTATTCCTCACTATGTGATGAAATATGCAGTATAAAGCTTGGAAAGCTAGAAGCCAAGGAGTTTGCTTGTAGCTACTTAGCTTCTTCGCACGTCAACACCAAAACTCCAGAAGACGCTGACTGGCTTGAATGAAAGTTCGCCTGTGATTTCATTGGTTGAACTTTTTACCTCTTTGTAAACTTCTGTTGTCGCTACACAAATCATGTGACACAGGTCTGTTTTGACAGGGGTGGGGGGGGGAATCCTTCCTCCACTCTGCACACATTCATGCGCTGCATACAGACAGTGTGTAGAGACCGCTGCACTCAGACTGACTGTTCATTATTAAAGTTTATTATAAAGTGGGAGATAACCAGATATTTTGCTTTGTCCTGTGCCCAGTTAGCCTAACTGTGCAGCATAGAGGGATCATTACGTATCATTGGGCACTTTTAATTGGTTATGCGGAAATTCCCAAGCATTTTTTGTGGTTATACACCATATACTTGTATATCACGTAGACTACAGCACTGGTTTGGATCATAGTTTTACTAGTCTACTCTTAAAAGTGTTAATGTGCGCACTGAAAAAGTCAGTGGTGGCTTTACGTAATTATTCTTTCTGTCCAGGCTGGCCTTAAAGAAATCCCTGTGCTGATGCAAGAAGTAGGAAGCAGAGGTTCAGCTAGAGCAAAGTGATGCCTCAGCAGCATGAGTTTGTAAAGTGCAACGGAGTTTTTAAATAGTTGCAGTGTTCCCTCAGAGCTCAGAAAGGGCACTGTGCTGTTTGAAAAGATACTTTGGCCTAAATTAACTCCAACTTTAAATGTTTAAATTAGGCACTCGGCAGATATGTTTTATATTATAGTTACCAGAAACAGATCAGGTTTGCTGATGAGCTTTGGAAAAACTTGAACATAGCTTTTAGAAAGACCAAACTGTAAATGTTGTGAAGGTGAAAAATGCTACACATGTAAACATCAAGCAGGTCTGAACTTTTACTATTTCTGATCAGTTAGAATCATTAACAGTATCAACGCTACATAATTATAAGATATAAAAGGTTTAAAATCTATAGATGATATGTTAAGATTATTTTCATATGCTAACAGAATTAAGGACAATTTGCTATAAATCTCGATGCCACTGCAAATAAATTTTACCTTAGAAAATGTTTCATCTTATAGGAAGTTATGCCATGCGGGACTTGGTGAGCAACCTGCCCAGCGGTCAGCAGCGACCAGCCAAGAACCTGGAGGAGGACACCGTGGTCGCCATCCTCAACACCATTCATGAGATAGTCACGGACAGCTCTGAAAACGCTCGCTCCCTCATCCAGGCCCAGGCCATCGAGAAGCTGGTCGCCATCAACAGGACAAGGTACTTCAGCAACGCAGTAGCACTAATAAAGGACCTGAAGTATCGGTCGGTTTGCTTTGCCACAGTTTGCGAACATGCAAACGTTGTGTGGATGGAAGCGCAGTGTGTATTTTGGGGGGTTTTCGTGTGTGCGTGTGTTTACCCTGTTAGTTATATGGATAATTCAGCCCCTTTGAAATGTTCTGTGTAAAGTTATGAACATTTATCATCATACCTCTTGTAAACCTTGCTTTTAACAATATCTGTTTAAATACATTACGTTTTACTCTGACTGGACTGACGAACTAATAGCTAGCCCACTTTCAGCTAGACCAATAAAATGACCCTAATCTCATAAATATTCATAGCAGCAGCTCTTGTGAAAGCTTTTACACAGACTTTAATACACCGTTAGTTTCTCAGTGCAGTTATCTGCCCACAACTCTTGTTAAGTGCAAAGCTAATAGCAGCAGCAGCTAGCTGTAACACATTCTGGGTCAATTCCAGCGTGAAAATGTTTTTGCTCTGGCCTTATTGATTAGGTAATATTAGCTTGTCTGAGTGGACGCTCGTCCAATCTGATTTAGCCTTTTTTAAACCACTTCAATCATCAAGATGTCATAACAGTTCATTGAAATATTATTGAAACATTTACACTGCTGTTCATTTTACATCACATGAATATTTCAGCAGAAATATAATGAAAGTCCTGCCACACTGGACCCTAGGCAGCACGTGTACGATGTGGAGGAACCAACATGCAGACTCGAGGAACAAAAGGATCGGAATAGAAAAAAAACTTTAACTTTTAATAATGATGACGTAAAAAAATAAAGTCTATGAGCAGCACACATGGTGTGTTTATACAGGGAGGGGCGATTACTGAGTCTGTGCAGGTGAAGCTGATGAACAGGTGTGAATGAATAATTGAACAGGAAAACAAGCTGAATGCAAGAAAATACCCAATTATTTAAAACAAACAAAATGATTACTGAACTTTTAACAAATAACAAAAATAAACTTAGCCTACAAAACCAACATGGAAACCCCAAATTCATGAACGTAAGTGCTACAGCTTGCTGCTGCTGCTGTTTGTGCTGGGAAATACCCACTGAATTCTAGTGAAACTCAAAACTGATGTTGGTGTAAAAGTTTATAAAATAATTAACTGTGAAGCCCAACAAAGTTCAGTCAGGTCCTCTGGACGGTTTTCTTTTTGTTGAGACGTTTCATCCAAAGGACTTCATCAGTCCGAGGAGCCACAACAAACAGTCCCACAAGCAGCACACTCACATAGTGAGCCAACCAGTTTGATGGTGATGGTTTCTGGGGCTGCCCTCTCCCCCGTTGTCTCCTCTGAGGCAGCCATGGCCAAAGTGGTTCAAAACACCAAAGTCCTTCTCTTTGTTGGATTTTTTTTACCTGGATTATTGCGCATGAACTTTGATTAGTTGTGAATATTAGAGTTGCTAACAGCAGCAGTCCTCTTTGGCCATGGCCCCACTCACACTAGCCTTTAGCATCCTGATGCATGCTAGCCTTTAGCCTGTCAGCCTGGTCAGAGTTCAACTGTTCTCCCAACTGAGGCCGTTCAAAGAGCTATCTACAACAGGTAAGATGATTATTGCTCATGTCTTTAACACAGAACCCCACTTCAAAAATGTCCCTTTAGGCTGCACTCCCTATACTGACACACAGTCAACCAGATTACAGATTATGTACACATTTAGAGACGATGTAAACAGGATTATTCTAGTCAGACCTTGGTATCTAGTTGCATTATGGGATTTTTGTTGATATTCGTGTAAGATGTATTCAGTGTGCTTCTGCAGGGTGGGAGCTTGCCTGCTACATACGTACATGCGCCTACAGACGTTACTGTCCACCACACATGAATTAACTTTTACAGCTGGAGGCCAGTGCTGCTGGTTCTTCTGACTCTGCAGATTATGCTGCAAGTCGTCAGACATATATTTGTCAGTTGTGACTTATTTCAGAACACAGTTAAACAAACAAGATGGGGTGATCCTGTCCCACGTCGCACTGTTTATTTTAGGATCGAGTATTTTCCAGCAGCCATCTCTTGTTTGGAGACGTATTGATCTCTCTGAGAGCTGCTAATTAACATGACTATACATAGTTCATTCACAGACTGAATAAATGTGTTTTTCCTCTGCCCCATGGGATTAGCTTTCTTTGATGTAACACCCCCCACCCCCTTTCACTTTTAATTAATACTGCTGGCTCAGAGGTAGCTAATGAAAGAAAATGTGCATTCGTCTGGTTATGAATTAAAAAACCAGCCCAGAGCTGCCAGGGGAGACAGTATTTGAATAAAAAGAGTGATTGCAGCAGCACCAAGCTGGCACATCGGCTGCTGCTTCCTTGGGGTTAGCTGGGGTTTCTCACTTTAATTGCTTCTGTAGCTCCTTCATTTATTCCCTTCTTTTTTTTTTTGTCGCCCCCTCAGCCAATCAGCTCGTGAAACAAAGGCGGCGTCCCACGTGCTGCAGACTGTTTGGAGCTACAAGGAGCTGAGGAACGCTTTGACCAAGGACGGCTGGAACAAAAGCCACTTCCAGGTACAAAACCTCCACATGCAAACCGGCTCTTCTTCTTTATCCTAAAATGAAAACATGTAAATTGTCCACAGTAATCCAACATCTTTTAACTTCATCTTAGCTCTAAAAATTATATATTAAACTACCGTGATTCTCAGAGAAACTACTGCTCTAACACAAATCCACGGACTGAAAGTTTTTTTTAAAACATTAAAAAACACATTATTTGTAAAAAGAAATACTTTTTTTAGGGATGCACGATATTGGATTTTTGGCTGATATGTTAAAACGTATTTGGGCGATAACCGATGCCAATATTTTATATACAATACGTTCCTTTGTCAGGACATATTCCTCTTATTTAGGCTTATTTGCTACAAAAATTGTGCAACAGCTGTAAGAGCTGGTGACATATATTCAATAACAGCCATATGATATGTATAGCACTTTAACTTATATTAAATGAAACATGTTAAATGTTATTTATTAGCATTAGTCACCTGCGATGCTGTCTCACTTGTGGAGGCTTGTTCCAGGTTCCTAGCTGCAGATCCTCTGCACTCCTGTGCATGAAGGACAGACTTTTTAAGTTCAAAGTTTTTGTCTATTGTGCCGTAAGACTAATCATGCTAACGGGGCTAACAGGATGTCTAAATGTCTGTGGTAAAACTCACCCAACAAGTCGTGCTATCAGCTATCAGCTTCTCAATGACTTCAGAAATGACGGCTGGTAAATCGGATAACGCTAGGTTGAAAAAATATCTCAGACTGGGGACGATGTAGCGAGGCTCAACGTAGTCCAAAAGTCTTTGGAATCCGACATCCTCAACGAGAAGAAAAAAAATATAACACACTGTCGACATTTTGACTTCTTCCTCTCCGCCATGATCAGATCAGGTAGGCGCACGTGACGTCATCACGTTGTGCTGGCGCTGCAGGCATCCTCGTCACTGGGCTGTCAAACAAAAACAGTGTCTTTTTATATCGGTGAGTTATTTTAATGGAATGGCCAATGTCCGATATTAAGCTTTAACACTAAAATCATCCGATACTGATACCATGCCGATAATATCGTGCATCCCTAGTTGTTTTTCTTTTTGAGATGTTTAGTTTGGAGCATGAATAAATTAAATATTTACTTCAGGCTTCATAGAATGATTACAAACGAATATCCATAAAATAAAACATGTTCAAGCTGAAGTATTATGACATATTTAATGCATTAAGGCAACTTCAGCACCTTCTGATATTAATTTATAAAACTCAATTACTTTCAAATTCTAACCTGATGTTTACCTTTTCACTCAGCCCGCTGTGACCGTCACCCCTAAAGCTACCAAAAATGGCAAACCAGGCTATGATGACACCACTCTGCCCCTGATGGAGAAGAACCAAGGTCAGTGTATTTGTGTTTGTCCACCTTTTGACCACTTCAGAAAGATCAAAATGATGAACTGTTGTGTTGTCTGGGAGAGAAAAGTTTAGCAAATGGATGTCAGTTTATGTGGAGCTTAAATTTAACGTAAAAAACTCAAGGCTTCATTTGTGTAATTGAAATTTCTTCCTCAAAGTTGGTAAAAATGAAAGTACTACTTTTTACTGCAACACATTATTTGACTGTGTGCATGTGTGTGTACATGTTTGTTTTTATCATAGCTTTTTTAGATGAAGCCATTCTTGCACCATTATAACTCATCCTTCTGTGTGGCGGTGTTGTGCTCTTTAATTCAGCAAAAAGTCTAATCCAAATCTTTTTGTGTGATGGTTAAATTAGGAGCATCACTTCAAATTGTTTTTCTTTGCCACACTGGTGACACTTGTGCCTCCACACTCTCAGTTTACCTTATTTAATCACTGGAGAATAACCATTATCCCCAAAATGCTGCAGCTGCTTTGGCTCAGCAGCTCAGCTTGTTTGTTAGTGGAGGGTTTTGTACAAATGGCAGATAAATGCTTTTCAGGCCCCAGGAAATGTGGCAGTGCTGATATGATACCTGTAGACGAGCTGCGTCCAGGTGAGAGCTGGTCTGCTTGATGGTCCTCAGCTAAAGAGGAGCAAACACTTCAGTACTGTCTTTGTGCCATCCGTCCATTCAGTTCTTTAAATATCTTATCCTGGAACTTTAAGAGTCAGATTATGGTGAGAAGGATTTGGAATGAGCTTCAGCTGCTTCAGATTTTATTTACTGTGCTTCCATCACCGTTTTCTCCTAGTTATAAATATTGAACTGTAACTTTTACAATCTTTATTCAGCAGTGACTTCTAAGAGCGACTGGAAATGACTTTTTGCCCTTGCTGTTTCCACTTCCTCTTCCTTGTTACTTGAAGTCAGCCTCTGGGAGTGTACGATGCCAGGCTTCCTCTGAGCCTTTGAGCCTGTTTATGTCAGGCAGCTCACTTTCCCTCCTGGGACTCGTACTGAAAATTAAACTAAAATTAAAAACACTTCACTTCAAAAGTCAACATTGAAAGCTGGAATACTTTGTACTCTCAATATCTGTATGGAAAAACGTTTTCTTTTATTTTTCCTTGAATTTCTACTTTAACTCTTAGAGCTGGAAAATAACCAACCACTTAATCAGTCATTAACAACTTAAATAAGTTGTTTTAATGTACAAAACAGAAGCTTAATCAAAGTTTTTTTTTTTCTGAAAAGTGCCTGTAACAGCTGGTTTTAAAAAAAGAATCATACAGCAGCCTACCAGGAAAAGTCATTGAACACTCTTCATCTTCCTCCTGTGCACTAAAACCACTAAAGTCTTCTTCAGTCAGAATTGAACAGCCTCAGAAAAACTTCATCACACACGTCCTCAGTCTCTCTTTCGTTGTCAATCTCAACGTCACTTTTGTTTCGAGGTAAATTCACACTTGAGCTTGTGCTGTCCTCTTCGTCACGCAGCAGTCCAGCCTTTAGAAACCCGTTGGTGATTGTGGATTTGTTGACACTGCTCCACTGTCAGGATCCACTGGCAGATTTGTGCAAAAGTTACTCTTTGCATGGAGCCAGTTTTGGTCAACGATTTTCATCCAAGCCTCCACTGAGCTCGGAGTGCCACATTAATGCATGATTCACACTGATGTCGAGTGACTGCAAATACTTTGTTGTGCCCCAGAGATCATGTGTTTCACGTGATCACGAGATGA